GCTAAATCTGTCGTGAGTGCTCAACAGCACGTAAGAATTTGCAGAATTAACACCGTTCCACATTTTTCATAGACAAGAAAACATTATCAAACCATTTGCAAAGCATAAGTCTTGATATTGGTAGCCTTATTCTAATGAGTCCTGGTGGTATATAAAAGGAAAGTAGTATTTCATGTAACAGTTAATAATATTTAAGCGTAAATATTGTACACTTCAAGAAACTGTCTTTCGAACATTTCGAGGTCGATGTTACTAAACGATGCCTAATTATATTACTACATGTGTACATTTACCATTTACTTCATAACCTGCGTTGAATCTTGACCATCACTCAGCAAAAACTGGAATAGTAGTTGCGTATATAAACCACTGAAGCCTCCATATTGTAAACACAAAGTCATTAATATCAACATTTCTTAAATAAGATTTTAAACGGTCCCAATCAGTCCAATGACGCCAGTGTTTTTCCTCGTTGTAGGTTACACTATTTATGGGTGTTCTTGAGTCATGACAGAACATTTCAGGGTCAAAAACAGCCAAAAACATTTTTGGAAATTGTCCTTCGTGTCGTTGTAATTTCTCGCTTGAAGTGAATCACTAATGAATTTCAATGAATTTTCAACAAACTGGCGCATGCGCACGCCAAACGGCCCCTTGTTTAAATGATGAGGCAAGCGCTTTCACGCTCAAGAAACCACGTGACTTATGTTGTGTTGTATTCAGGCAGGTCCAGGCAGCCATTTGTTCAGGAACAATAGTAATTTCATGGTATATGATTCCCACAATTTATGATAATTACCCTCCTCGATTTACCAACACAGCATAATTAGATCGCCCACAATTTACCAACACAAAAGTCGCCCACAATTTTATGATAATGAATTGCCACCTACTCGTTTTGACCACCCCGGCCCTCCCCTATCACTTTTGCCTCATTTGCATGTAGTCACCCTAGCAACATACAACATCACTCTACGGCGGATCTTGATCCGCCGTTCACCTTGTTCCATTGTTTTGTCGCATCTAATTAKGGTTAATTTGTCCGATCCGCAATCCGCCATGATCCGCCTGGCGTTGAACCGCTATTTTGTATACTACTAACGACTTGAAAACGATAGAAATCTAAATTTGACCTAAAAGGTCATGTAATTAATACTGTGCGAACAGAGTGTATTTTACCTCACAACTGAACTGATAAAATCAAACGTGGTAGACTAAATGTCGCTAAGTGATATCATGATATCTAATACGTTTTTAATTCAAATTGTTGACCTATCTCAAGCCAAGAAAATAAATACATTAAAAAATAAATATGACTATAAAATAATCAAAGTCGCCTTTTTGCTATTGATAAACAAAGTTTCTTCTTGTTCGAATATGAAATCTTTGCCCAAACAAGACTGTCTAACGCTTGAATTCAGTTTCGTAAGCATACTACTCGAACCYCCATGCGATCCGCACATGCGCGTACTTCTGATGCCAAGACTGATGCCTTCCGATGAGATCACAGATACCACATTTGTAAACTAATAGTTTTTTTTATCACATAAAAGCGCAAGTAGCATATACACCCTTTTAATAAGTCCCGAGGAATCGAGTTCTCCGCCCTTGACGTCAAATTTATTCTTTTGAAATTTTTACAATACAAAAAGAATTCAAAAGAATGAATTTGACGTCAAGTGCGGAGAACAMAATACCTCGGGACTTATTAAAAGGGTGTATAACATTTACTATCGATATTCGTACATTTATAATACGTTTGAGCTTCCGGTAATAACACAGCCAACCCAATAGTTAATTATTAAATTCTTATCTTCCGGTGGTCCAGACGCGATAAAATACACAGATAGATTTGTAGGTTTGTTTGTTTGTTTGGTCGGTTGGTCGGTTGGTCGGTTGGTTTGTTGGTCTGTTGGTTGGTTGGTTGGTTGAAGCACAAAAAATAAATCTTAAACAAAATGATTTTTAGTTACAATTAGTAAGTTTCATAGATATTTTCACAGTCGATTTCATCTTACTTATGGACTATTGCTGATAGAGCAACGATAGGCAAAATTTCCATTATCATTTTTTTCGTCAAACCAGGAAACCTCATTGTATTTTTTAGTGTTTGAGAATTAGTCAATTAACGCAATGTTATCAAGTGGCCTTCAAGCAAGGATATACTTGTGCTTTTTATTTCTACA